TTCATATGCTTGGGGTGCTGCTGCATTGGCATACTTATATAGACAGTTGGGGTACGCTAGCAGGTCCGACGTAAAACAAATAACCGGTTACATGACACTCCTTGAGGGATGGATTTATGAGCACTTTCGTGGATTTCGACCACACTTGAATATGAATTACACTCGAGACATGCCACATGTTTACTGTTGGACTTCTCGAGAGAGTGTGGTGAAGAGACACGGTTGCAGGCTTTTCGAGAGGAGCTTGATAGGTTGGGTGTACATGATATAAGTTGAAAAGTCCTTCAAAATTTGAAACTCTATATCATACAAAATTTACAGTTGTCATATCTTATAGTTTTTATTGTTTGTAGGTTGTTTGGGACCCGTACCAAAGTTGCAGAGATGTTCATCCATGTCATCCAGTTACGTTCTACCATGGTTGCCTAAAATGTTTGGAAGTAGTCGAACCATATCACCCTGATAGAGTGTTGAGACAGTTTGGCAAAGTGCAGACAATCCCTAATCCACCACTTGGCCCTATGCGTGCTTCTCGAGGAGCCACAGCTCCACGCTACAATGTTATGTATGCATACTTGGACATCATTTGGGAGGCATGGGATAACCATGTGTTATCTGATCAGATGAGGAGTACACCAGTACGGCAACCTTGGCATTGTGTTCCTAGTTACATGGATTGGTACCAAACCATTACCCATATGTACGTACAAAACCCAGCGCGTCGTTCTCAAGTGGATCCGAATATCCATCATTATCAGTATCCTAGCCAAGACGCACAGGTATCCTTTTTTTCATTTAGATTGCAAATTATTTATGTAAACTATTATAAGTTTGTGCATAATGTTATATTTGTTCTCGTAATGCAGCGTATGTCACAGATACATCAGATTACTCATCCTTTCATTGAGGCTAGCTATGAGGACAGTGTTCAACATCCTGATAGGCTTTACTACGCGATTGATGCAATCCAACAACTTCTTCAAGATCAGCACATTAGTGAAGCTGCGCCTAACACATCCACTCAGGGTCGGTTTGCACCCAGTTCTTCCACTGCACATCGTTTTGGAGCACATTACACTCACTGATCATGTAGTTAATAGTAGTTCATAATGTTAGCACAAGTAGTTTCTGATGATGTTGGTAGATGTATAAGGAGACAAATATTATTATTATCTTTAAATTATGTATCTTTTGGATTATGTACAAGCACACATGTCGTTTGTGATGGTGTGGATGGATTGAACTATTATTTAGTATATATATATTTTATTTACATACTTGTTTAATCTTATTACTTTTTAACAGCAATTGAACTTGGTTAATATTATTTTCATTACGTTTTGTGTTCAGACAATGTAAAAATAGTATGACATCCATTCCATAAATTAGAGAACTATAATGCATATAATATTCTATTTTTTAAAACAAAACTGACCATTACAAAATTCAATGGCAAAATGCTATCTACCTCGTTACTCTATACTAGTAAATCATAAAAAATAATGTCTTAACCCTCTCATTACTACTCTGTAATACCTCAATCTATGTCAACTACATCAAATGTCTCTCGAGTAGCTACATTAGGTCCTATGTTGTCTTTGAATTTTTGAACGCGGCTAACATATGCATTCTCCCATTTTGACGCACAAGGGTGATGGGAGGAACTGGATGACCGGCTTCCAAAAACACTTGCACATACATCCAAAAAATTACATATCTTTACCAAATACATAAAATTTGCAATTACACAAATATTAGACAACAATGTTTGGTTATTTTCATAACTTATACCTGCACAAAATGATTTCCATTGACAAATCCAATGGCAATTTCGCGACTATCAACTAGGGTTACCGACAGTGATCTCAAAGGTAAGAAAGTGAGACACTATTACAATGACAAGTGGTACAAGACTACATTATAAAATGATGTAATAAGATGCCCCATGCCAGGCATAGTCATCCAATGATCAAAGCCTAGGCTATTTTCAAAATATGAAAGGATGTGTGTCAGCTCATTAACCCTCTCATGCGACCCATATAGTACGACGTATTCATCTCTGTGATTATTCAATTCAAGTAGCAGATCATGCCTAACTTGCACCCAGTCATTCTCTCCAAGACCAAGTAAACTTGCACTAGCTCTAAATCCACAATTCCCATCACCATCTATATCCTTCATCAACTTTATGAATGGTATTAATGTAGGCGGAAAGTCAGCAGCATATGCACTCGGTAAACTTGTTCTTGTATGATATGTCTTTGTCTTCACATTCCGCTTCTTCTCATGAACTTTTGAAGCTCTCTTTTTCTTTGACTGACTGGAAGCTAATGTGCTCTGGCTATCATGCTCATCGTCAACCAACTCAAATGCACACGGGTCACGACGACAAGATATATTAATTTTCTTATGTCCTCGACGTGGATTACGTTTCACATCGGGCTCAATAAGAAAAGTGCTCGCTGGATTTGCAATTTCCCTCAACTTCTTTAACATATCCAATTGCGTGGCAATATCAGACTCTTCAAACCGCTTTAAAATCAACTCAAGTTCTGGGATACAAGTCAATTCCAACTTCTGTTCCTTCGGATTATGCACACATATAGTAAGGCGCGTCCAATGTACATGTATGCTACTGAGTGGAATAGGACGGCCTTGTCTCGTGTAATCTGCAATCTCGTGAGCACAAAGTAAACCATGTGTGTGCCTAAGAACACACCCACATGTTGCAACATCAATTCCAACTGAATTTGCTCTCTTACTCTCTGCTAACACGTACTCCAATGCACAAATAGACACATTACCCCGGAGCTCTCTGAATTGAGAAGGTTTGAATTGATGTTGTACAGTTGTCAAACTTTTCTCGAATGATGCTTTAACTTGAATGTGCTGTAACTCAAGTAGACAATGTATTTTTTCAAATGAAACCTCAAATGTCGTTTGACTTGAACCTAATTGCCTCTTCAATCTAGCATGAGCACTCTCAACCCTGTTCATATAGATGTAAACCAAAATAGTCAAGCATAATAATTAAAAATAACAATATGATTTATAATAAATTAAAAAAAAAGAAATAAATCTTACCGATTGGTTGTAACATTGCCAAAATGCATACACATGTCTGTATGTACCGCAATGAATTTTTCTTGATACGGACTCAACCAACTCACAGTAACATATTTGATTGCCTCCGGATAGTTACTGAAATCCTTATGTAGTGTTGCAAGGTGATCATTGTATTCCTTTTCAGTCGATGACAATATCAAATAGTTCCATGCAGTGTTAAACTTGCCCCATTTTTCTTTTGTCTCAAACATTTTCTTGCATTTTGTCAATACATTCTTATTAATATGCTAACGACATAACAAATGTCGAGCATTCGGAAAGGTGTTATCAATGGCATTCATCAAAGCAAGCTCTCTGTCTGTGATAATGACTTCAGGTAAAACACTGTCGTCCATAAGATCACGCAATGTTTGTAACGCCCATGCATAATTATCAACCCGCTCAGTTTGCAAGTATGCGATAGCCACGGAGAATGTCATATGAGTTGATGTTACTCTCACAATTTCAAGAAGAGGAAGCCGATATCTATTCATTTTATATGTGCAATCCATAATCAACACACGAGGGAATGTACGAAGCAAATCCAAACTCACTGGATGTGCCCAAAACAAGTCCGTGACAGTCATAGAGCCTTCCTCACATCGATGACGCTCAATGTACTTATGTTTCGCTAATTCACCCAGCAGTTGTTGCATCTAGGATCTACCAGCTTTCTGTAGAACCCTACATCGATGTCGTATATTGTAAACTGTCTTCATTGTGCTCATATTAAGGGCATCCCTCTGTTTGAGTGTAATGAGTATCTCTTTTGGTCTTACTATGCTCTTTGACATATCAACTAATAGTGACTTTTCATTAGCTGACAATCTCCCTGCATATGAATGTCCTTGGAGATGCTCTGCAGCTGGATGATTATGCAGTTCGCAAACGACATTCAATGCCCATTCATCGTTTGTTTTTCAACTTGAATGCCCTCAAATCAAATGGACATTCGCACTTCTTCGTACCAGTTTGTCTCAATAAGTCTTTTGGGCCATTTTTCAACTTTTTACGCAATCTATACTTCCCACTCCGCTCACAAGCAAGATAAATTATTGGTCTCTTACGACCGCCACCATAGTTTAACGTCCTTATAATAATAACGAAGCTATTTATCCTTCCAATGTCTCGTATCCAAGTGAGCAATTCATCTTTATTGTCGAAAACCTATATATGATGTCACATAACTTTCATAATAACAAACTAAACAAACTAACTAGTACAAATTTATGAATTTACAAATTTTATGTTAAAAATTACCTATTTAGTTGTAAAATGGCTAGTACAATCCACCATAATATCCGATCGAACCTCAGGTTCTTCAATGCATGCCATCTAAAGAGGAGGGGGAAAATTTCAATTCGGTTCTACAGATCCAAAATAAGTAAAATAATTCGGAAAATAAAAATCGAAAATAATAACAAAATTTGGATTTCTAGGACCGAAAATATTAATTTTGTTCGGTACTCTATTACCGAAATAAATTAAAAAATCATAATCCTAGTTCCGAACTATTTATATTATTTCGATATCTGGTAACCGAATTAATTTAACAAATTCAGCACTGCGTTGCCGACTAAAAAACGCAAAAAAAAAAAAAAATTCCACGATTTTACCTTTTCAACACTGATTTTGATGTCACCATTGCTTGAGTTTGAACTGTCATAGATTTGCAACTCTTCCATATCAAAATCAAATAAAAATTGTTGAACTAATAATTATACGATGTTAATAATTGAGTACAAACTTAAAGATTAAAGCAATAGAGAAGATTTTTTGTTTGCAAATAACAGAGAGGAGTACAGAGTGTGTAGGAAGCAAAGTGATTACAAAAGAAAAATTAGGGTTTAATTTTTTTGTTTCAAAAAGAGTATATTGAGATATTTTTATTTCTAAAAGATGTGTATAGAGAATTTGTATATATAATATTAAGAGTGTTGATCAATGGCTATTATAGTAATTTTTAATTAGGATATAACTGTCATTAATGTAATTTTTCATTAAGTGTGTTAACTGAGTTTATCAGGGTGGTAGAAATAGAATTTTCCCATATTTTAGCCAAAAAAATTAAAAAATTACTAAAAAAACCTATTCTTAAACGAGGCCTTAACCATAAGTTAAAAGGAGTTATAATCAAATCAAGGGTTGCAATTCAAGCAGGTTTGGTTGGGTTGAAAAAATTGTACACATTTAGCTTAAGTTGGGTTGAGAATTGTCTAGTGTCCAACCTTCAATTGAACTTATTTAGGGGGTGTTTAGGAAGATGGGTTTGAGGCTAAAATAGCCTTAAACTAAAAAAAAAAAAACCAAAAAGCTCCTAAATCACCCTTTTTTA